AGATGTTAAACAGCGCTGGTCCCAGTGCCAACCTCTGAGGAACACCACTTGTCTCTGAGCTCCACTTGGACATCGAACCATTGACCGCAGCCCTTTGAGTGCGACAATCCAGCCAATTCCTTATCCACCGAGTGGTCCATCTGTCAGATCTGTTTCCTGGCAGGCTGAGCAGCCTTTACATGACCTCCTGGTTAATCAGGCACTGTCACTTCATGTTGCTCACCAGGATTAAAGAATTTTGAAAAACTAACTCTCCTTTTCCCAGGGATGTTCACTGTATGTCCTCAGCAACCTGTTTTTGTTCCAGTCTGAAAACTGGATGTGGTAGAGCGCAGAGTTCAAACGGTTACATAAAGTTTGACTGCTGGTTAGAGTACACCTCTAATTCTGTAGAATTTCATAGAAAAATTGCCTGATATTGTGGACAGCTGATTTTTGTTTAAATTAGTTAAATGCTGCCTGAGATTGGTAGCTATTGCAGTCAAAGGCAGCGTCATGATTTTGAGGAAGAAAGTGACTTCATTTCTCAGGAACTCTGTCCAAGTTGCAGCTGTGGTTGTGGGATGCTCTCAGACAAAGCCCAAAAAGTAGCTTACACTGTCCCGGGCATTCTCATGCTTTAGAAATTGGAGCATGTGCTTGTTCCCCATGTTTGACTGTAGATTTGAAACACTGCTGGGCAGTGGAGAGACTCCAGATATATCTCTGGCTAATAGCACGATATACCTGCATGGCATGTACAGCTAATACAACCCTATTTCAGGTGATCCTGAGACATCTCAGCTTATCCTGTCCATAAGATACAGGGGTACAGCTTGGTTTAGTGGACTTTAGTCAGATATACAGAATTATTTTAAATGAACTGCACAAAATAAAATAAAATTAAGAATTCACCTGGTAGCACTGTAAGCCAATTACAACACTGATATGTAAAGAACACACACTAAACAAATCAGTCTTCCGTTTAAGAATTACTACATAATTTTCAGGCCAAGTCTTGAAAAAGGATAACCACTCCATTTATTTTTTTTATTTTTCTGTATCACCCATTACCAATGTATCCAAGTATTTCACAAATGTTAATTATTAATGACCATGAGAACAGTCTGTTCTTAGAACCCAGAATTTAGTTTTATTCCTGTTTTGTTATTAAAAACCTCATGCACTGAAATGCTGGGGGAGGGAAGGTCTGTGGCTTTATTTGGAATGCATCTGCAGCAACCAGTGTTTGATTTTAACCAAAGTGTCTTCCATGGTGAACTAGGACACAGCAGGGGGCTGAGTTCTTCAGGTGCAAGTGATTGTCACGATCAGAGCACCATCAGCTGCTGCGATTGCTAATCGGCTCCACAGCTCCCCAGATCACTTTCTTAACTGGCAAAATTAGGAACGTTTACATGAAGTAAAAGCTGATGCAAAAATAAATATATGCATCACCAGTGGTGGCTGGCATTTGGGAGAAAAGCCATAGAGCCTTGGTTATTGTCTTTGAAGAACACTTGAATTCATTGGTTTGAAGCTTTGAGCTGGAGGAGAGTTTAAAGCCGATATTCCTGGGGACAGACCGTCACGCTGGCCACAGGAAGGCTGGTGGTCACAGCAAGGCTGTTCTGAGGAAGGCTGATTTTATTTTAAATTTGTTTCATGACCTTACGTCCTAGTCACAGGTCTCTGTCCTGCACCTGCAGTGTTACTGTGTGGTCACAAGCCAGCGAGGGGAGCGAGCAGCGAGGGGAGCTTCCCTGCTGCTCCGCTGAAATGCAGCAATACAGCACCACAGATGTCACCGCAGAGGGTGATGCATCACCGGGGATGATTTTCCAGTGCTTTGCTGAATTGGGACCTGTATAAACTTGTTTCCAGGTGGTTTTTTCTTAGTTTCTCTCACACACTACTTTATATTGGCTTTTGCTAGAGAACTTCAAGGACAGAGTAGAACTGCACTCACCCCGATATCTACTAGCTGTTCTGATGAAAGACATTCTAACCAGTGCCTGTGGTTATTACCCTTATGATTATTACGAGAGGCTGCCTTTGTTGTTCCTCCTGAAGAACATTCCGTCTTGTCATCTACTATGGTAAGCTGAGGAAAAGAAGAATTTCCCTGGAGCTGTTGTGCCCAGCCTCTCCTCCCTGGCAGTGCTTGAGGCTAGAGCTTGTGCCATACCAGCAGCTCCCCTGCTTTTCTTAAGGTAGCTGGAAGAACTTCAAGCTGAGGCAAGTGTGAGC